TTGAGTATTATAATATATATGTTAATTATGTATATAAATATATATAGCTATTGATAAAGAAATGGAGTATAAGGAAGTTATAAAGATAAATTTATTATTGTAAAAATAATATAGTTGTAAAATAAATGTAGTATAAGTAAGATATCGAAATTATAATTTTGTATATAAATAAAGTAATATGAGATATAATAGATTGTAATTAGTAATAGTAGAGAAAATAGATTGTTAACATTTATAAGATAATAGTAGTATATTATATTATTAAGAGAGAATAAATATTCAAGTAAATATAGTAATTAAAAGATTTATATTAGCTGGATGAAAAGCAGCTCTAATAGTTTTAGCGTCTGATATTTTTCATTGAGAAAAAAAGAGATTAGTAGAAATTTTAGAGGTTTTAAGTTTTTTAGAGATATATTATAATGCTTGTGAAAAATAAGATTAGTTATATTTGTATTTAATTTGAGAATTGAAGAATTAGAGAATTGTATAATACCAAAATAGGATATAATTTTAGCAAGAGTATGTTGTTTTAATAAAAGTATTTTTAAGAGCATTTTTAAGGCTGAGATTAATGCTATCATTTTTAGCAGTAGCTATTAAATAGTATTTATAGTAAGTATAATAAAAAAAAAATTTATATTTAGAATTTGTGAGAGTATTATTAAGTTGTATAAATTGTTGTTCTGCTGAGTTAGCTAATTTTTTAAGAGACTCAAATGGAAAAGGTTTTGAGAAAGTAGCAGTTAGAGGTTGATTTGGTTGAAAAATAGCAAAGTTTAAGTAAGGGTAAATATAGGTTTTGAATGAGTTATGAAAATAAAATAAAGTTAAATTTTAAAAAATATGAGAGGTATTATTAGAAAGAATAGTATATGTGTTGCTTGTACAAGTATATATATAGTATAGTGATGCCTTAATTGAAGCCTTTGTTCTTTCTTGTAGTAAGTAACAGTTGGAAATTGGCAGGAGTTTGGTAATAGTTTTTTGAGTTCATTAAAAAGATAGGTAATAATTGGATATTTAATAAAGTTATAGACTTTTTGTTGATCAATATGTAGAAATTGTTGTTTGTATAAATTAAAAAATTTTAAGAACTATTTGTCAAATGTTGTGCAGTAAGATTTAAAAGAAGTAATATAAAAGGTTTTTAAAAAATTTTGTGATAAAATATCAAAAGTAATATAAATATTATATTTTACATTATTTTTGATTTTAAGAAGTAGTTGATCTGAATTGTTAAATATAGTATTAAAATTAAGTGACATATAAATAGGTTTAAAATTCAAATCTTCAAAGAATTTAATATAATTAATAGTTTTGTATTGATTTAGAAGAAAAAGATGCAGACAAGCAAGATTAATTGCAATTTGAGCATATTTAGGAATAAAATAAGGAGGTAAAATTAGTTTGAATGAAATATTTTTTTAATTAAGTTTTGTAAAAAGAACAGTAGTAAAGTTAGATAGAATATCTCTTAAAATAAACAGAAGATAATTAGATAATATATTAGTATTGTTGTCATTAGTTATATTTTAGTAGATAAAGTCAGTAAGAAATTGTGGTTGTTGAGAAACTATGCATTATAATAAATCATCAAAATTGCTTTTGTTAGCTTATTGTTTGGAAGCTTCAGGTTGAATAATTTGACTAGAATAGAAATTAAAAGAAATAATTTAATAAAGTCAAAAATTTTAATACCAAGAGATGTTGGAAATTGAGTTGTTTTTCTGCTTCGATGTTGATTGAGAAAGCTTGAAACCAGTCAAGAGTATTGTTGATTAAGCTAGTTGGATCATATTTAAATGAGTAGTGAGAAAATCTATATTGAAATATTTTTAAAAAAATAGTATATTTAATAGTTGGTTTATATAAGTTTGTTGCAAAAATTATTCTAAGTTTTTTGTAAGAGTTAAAATGATAGTAAAAAGTTAAAATAATAGTTAAAATTATTAAGTTTTTTTTGGAGGTATAGAATTTATAAATCAGGAGTTAAAAGTGTGTAAATAACAAGAGCTATTTAAAAAGTGGCTAGTATAGTTTTACAAATAATCTTGAGTAATCTTGTATAACCAAATATATAAATATATATGACAAGTATAGCTGATGTAGCTTGGTGTAACCAAGTATAACAGTATAACTTGTATATCAGTAGAATAAAATTTGTGTAAATTTACTAAAACTAAAATAGTAGAATTAAATTTTGTATAAAAATAGATAAAATAGATATTGAGATTGTATATTAATTAATAATATTGATTAGTAATATGGGTTTGCAGATCTTGAATGTCCTAGAGAGGCAGGAGTCTCTCAAAAAAAGAAAAATTTTTTGTAAAAACTAGATAGAATTTTTGTAGCAAAGTTTAGAAGCATTTTGGTTGTAGTTTTGTTAATTTTAGTTTGTTTTTTGTATAATATATATCAAAATGAAGCTGTTGATGAGCTAAATCTTTTTGTATTATAAAGCATTAGATATTAACTTAATAGAATTTTGAGTTTTGAGTGATAGAAGTAAAATTTAACAAGAGTGTTATAATTTTGTAAAAAATAGCTTTAAAAGTTTAGAGCAAGGCCACCTATAAGTAAAATTTTCTGTAGAACAGTTTTACTTAGGCGGCCAAAGTAGGTTTACTTAGTAGAATTTAGAGAATAGAGTAATTATTTTTAGAGAAAATTTGGTACAAGTGATCGTCAGGAAGAGTTAGTGATTTGCGTTACTCAATTTTTATATTTAAATTAGCCTCATATAACGAATCTATAAGAAATTTATATATAATGAAGAAAAACCTCTAGCTCCAGAGCTTTGTTATATCCAGGTTATACTGTATACATTAAATTAGTGCAAGTAATTAGTAGATATTTATTGTTGATTTTAATAACAAATATTTTTTATGGATATTAAAATTGATATGAAATAAAAATAATAATATTCAAATAGCAAATATCATGAACTTGGATAACTTATACGCATTAGTAAATATTCTTTATGCTCACAACCAAGAACAAAATTTCATAGTAAATATTCATGAAATTACAGATTGGATCTATTGAAAAAAATTTCTTTTCTGGTATTATTAAATTACTTGGGTTATCTAGATAAATGATTATATATTTTTGGGTAATTGTATAGTGATAGTAACAATTTTTTTAGGCCCAATCCCTACATAAAATTAAACACTAATCTGAATAGTTAAATATATTAATGAATGAACTAGATGCTGGAAAAAAGGCTAAAAATAAAAATTTTTTTAAGAGATTTTTTTATATAAATTGATTTAAAATAAGATTAGAATCATTTTTCACTTTAGATACAAAAGCAGTTGTATTAAAAAATTTTGCAGTATAGTTCCTTAAAGTTTTTATTTTCTTATAATTTACTATAATATTTATAATATAAAATTGATTTTTCAAAGATTATTTTTTTTGCTATTTTTGGCCTTTTTCTTAGCATCTAGCCCAAATATAATTTATATTTGTAAATTAAATTGATATAAATAAAATAATTTAGAGTTATATTATTTAAATAGGTATTGTTATAAAATAGTAATCAAATAATTACCAACTCTTTTTAATTATCTTTTAGTTAACAACAAAAAACTAAATTATAGCAAAATAGTATAAAAAAGCAACAAAGTAAATACAACAATATTTTTAGTTTTGTATAAGCAAATTTGTTGTTAATGAAACTTATATATATAAAATACTAAAAAACAGATATATAATAATATTAGATAGGTTTGTGCCCTAGATCAAGCTTATTTTTTGGATAAACCTCTTCGTATATTTAGTATTTAAATCAAAAAGTTTTTTTAAGAATAACATAAAGCAAATACAATGTTAGTATTTGTCTCAGATTAAGAATATTAATTAGAAACTAGAAGCCAAAATATATATTTATAAAACCTAGAAAAAGAACCTTATATACTCATGTTGATCTTACTTGGCTTCAAGAAAATTTTTATAAAAAATAGATAATTTAGTTTACTCTTTCCAAAAAATCAATATATTTTTTGTCAAAATAGTCAGTATTATTTAGTTTTCAAATTAGATTGATAAATATCAGAAATCCTTAATTAGACATCTGGTATCATTGTCTCAGTATATATAATTGTATCTGTCTGTGTTTCTATATCGATGTATGTATGTTTTCTTTTTGTACAAGTATTACAGATAGATAATTTGATATCATCACTAGTATTGTCAGAGATTTCACCTAATTCTTTGTCTGTATCTATAGAGATTTCTTTAGAGATAATAACATTATCTGGTATCTTTT